CTGTTGGAACAAGTCCAGAAGAGGGCCACAAGGATGATCAGGGGTTGAAGCAGCTCCTGTAGAAAGGCTGATAAAAGTTGGGGCTGTTCAGCCTGGAGAACAGAAGGCTGCACGGAGACCTCATAGCAGCCTTCCAGTATCTGAAGGGGGCCTATAACAATGCTGGGGAGTAGCACTTCACCAGCAACTGTAACAACAGGACAAAACGTGATGGGTTCAAACATAACCAGGGAAAATTCTGGTTAGGTAGAAGTTTTTTACTTCAGGGTGCTGAGGCCCTGGCACAGGCTTCCCAGAGAAGCTGTGGCTGCCCCATCCCTGGCAGTGCTCAAGGCCAGGTTGGACAGGGCTTGGAGCAACCTGGTATAGTGGGAGGTCTCCTTGCCTGTGGCAGGGGGTTGGAACTGGATGAGCTTTAAGGTCCCTTCCAACCTAAACCAGGCTGGTTCTATGATTCTTACTGACGTGTGACCTTAAACAGATGAAGGTTTAATGGAATTAATCATTTTAGTGAATTAAAATGCTTTATTGCAGTTTAAAAACAACAGAATAAATACCTCATAACACAGAGTAAGGAACCTGTGGCAGACAGGCTCACAAGACACTTCAGTTCCTGTTGTGGTCAGATTCCATCTTTCTTCAAGGTTACACTGAGTCCACAAAATCATCATCAGTCCACTCTTCCTAATGGAAGGAAAAACACCACCACCTTGAGCAATGTGTGAATTTAGTGTGTTTTATAATACAGTGCACCAGGCAGCATGTAAATGTAGGTGCACAGCATATGCTGCCACAGAAAACTCTACTAGAATTCAAACACAATTCAAGCAGCACAGGTGATTTCAGAACTCTGAACTGCGCCTGCCATCAGTAACAGACTCGAACAGCAATGTCTGAAGCATAGCGCTTCTCTGCATGACTTGGCAGACCTGCCAAGCTCTGTCAGGATGTTCTTGTCAGGATGCTGGACCCTACTTGTCTTGCAGGCTCCATTCTACTGCCACCTGAGTAGCAGCTGCCAGGCCTGGTTAACTTACAGGGCTAGCTCAAACTGGAAATGAGGAGGCTACAAAGAAGTTACCTGATGAAACACATGTTTGTGAAGATCCCCTTCAGAGTCTCACGACATGGCTTGGCTAAGGTCATGGCCAAGAACTGCTGAACGACACTAAAGGTATTTCCTTTCCTGAGACTCCCCACAATCTGAATTCCTGCTCAGACTTTCTGCCACTGCTAAATGTGAGTGCAGTTAAAGGCATTGCTCCAGGTAGGCCCTAGTCTGGCATGAGACTCCAATTAAGTTTTGATTCATGGGTTAATTTAAAATTTTTCCTGCATGCCTCTCCCAAGCAGTTCTATCAAGCATGCTCCAGAGCCTTCTGTAGGGACTAAAACAGAAATAACAGCCAAGTAAATATATCACAGAGAAGATTATATATATATACACACACACACATAGATACATATATATACAAATATATATATATGTATTTTAGCTATTAACAGCTAATTCCAGAACACAGGACTGAAAGCCTCCTGGAACTAGTGCCTATTTCTTGCTTTCTGCTATGCACTTAATGTCCAGGATTTAACGCCTAATAGAAGTATTCCATAAACAGAAAAAGGACTGAAATATTTCCACTAGTGGTGATGAAACCCTTTAAACTTAAAGCTAGTTATCACAGACTGGTCTGGGTTAGAAAGGACCTTAAAGCTCATCCAGTTCCAACCCCTGCCACGGGCAGGGACACCTCCCACTAGACCAGGTTGCTCCAAGCCCCGTCCAGCCTGGCCTTGAACACTGCCAGGGATGGGGCAGATACAGCTTCTCTGGGCAACCCATGCCAGGGCCTCACCACTCTCACAAAGCTAAATCCATGCCTACTCTTCAAGTCATAGGGACAGAATCACTTTAGCAGCTGCATATTTCAGCACCTGTATGAAGTTTAGCTCATGCTTCTTCATGAACCACAACAACGCAGAGATTTCCCCAAGAGCTCGTATTTCAGCTTTTTCCTAGTGTCTCATGGGTTTTATGGCTTCACCACTTTTATGGCATCTGAGTCAGCCATGCTTAATCACTATCTGTATGTTTCTTCTATCATTTCATATCATACCATATCATTCCCATACCAGTAACAGCCTTGACACTGGTATCAACTTCAGCTGTAAACAATTAAATCAAGAAACAAAATCTTACAAGTAGATTAGAACTGATTGTGCACTTGCATACCACAGCCTAATTATTTAAAGAAATGCGTATATCATTACCATCAGCTAACTATAGCATTAGCGAAGTCTCAAGGCTTAAGCAGTACGCAGGCACTACAAGCTTTCAAAAAGTTAAGCACACTTGCTCCTTTACATCCTGGCCAGCTCAGATCTGCTCTTGTATTTCACAGTTACTCAGAAATGAAATTATACAAGTTCAAACCCTTCACAATTCAAATACACCAATATTTAAAAATCCTAAGTTTCAGGATCTGTTAACACTGTTCAAGTGCTTATCCTGAAATGCTGTAGGTGAATTTATCAAACGGGTTTATTTCTTTAAAAAAAGGATTCTGTATATATGTTTATTAGAAAAACAACACAACAATATCAAAACACACCAACAAATAAAAATACAAAATGCCTCAAGCCATAGCAGCATAACTAGAATAAAAGCACCTTTAAATTAAACCAGGGCAGGGAAGGAGTAAGTCTCCAGAGCTCAGCAGAATCTGTTCTCTCAGTCATTTTGTGAGAAAGTGGAAACTTACGGAAGTGAAAACACACATCCTGTATTTTATGTTAACAGACAGCCCTCTTCAGCTGTTAGCAAATTTTTCTGAATGCCATACTTAAGGTGGCTTAAATCATCTAGATGGACAACATCTTCAGTATCAAGAGAAGTCCAGTTAAAAATAGTTCTTCACAAAGCTCCACCAGAACGCATTGTCTACAGCTTACAGGCAGTGCCATAAATAAAAGCTCTGAAAAGCATTCAGGTTAGTTCTGAAGGAGTACCTTAATTCTGCTTTCATCTGTTGAGCAGCTCTCCTTAGTCCATCTCCACCTTATTTCTACTTGTTCTTATAACCCAGAGTACTAGCTACCCAGCTATAATTTATGCAAGCATTGCTAGCAAACTGGCTGATGTAGAAATTCAGTCCAGCAGCTGACTTCTGCATTGTGCAAGCCACCAAATAATGCACTGAAAACAGTTTTAGAAACACTGGCCAGCAAGAAAAAAAAAATCAACACATAAAAATTTCCTTCAAAAAGCCTACTTTGACTTTATTCCAGCATATACTCATTTATTTCACTCATAATTCTAAGTGAGTTTCCACCTGTAAATCTGGAATTTTCCCACAAGTATTCAGTTCCTGGCTTTTCAAAAACTCCCTTCATCACAGCACTCCAAACCTCAGTCTCACAGCTATTCCCCCTCACTGGCATCATGGGAGTCTCCCTTGCTGAAGTACAAATCTTGATGCTGGTCTGTGGTTTGTTAAAATAATTTCGATATTCAGGGAACAGCAGGAAGCATGGCCTGCATGTTCCTTCCTCTCCCCACAAAAGATGGGGGTATTTAAGAACCCTCCTAAGTACAGGATATATGTATTCTGCCTGAAAAACACATAAAAGTGTATTAATGGGTACAGAAGTTTGTCTCAGTAGCTGTGTTGCTTTTGTCATGGCAGTTAAGAGTGGAAAAAAAAGTACTTGTAAAATAGGTTTACTGACCTCATCCATTTTAGGTTTCTTTGCAACATATTCATCATCTTCATAACCTTTCCTCTTCTTCCTAACCCCCAAGCAGAAAAAAAAAATTTATAAGTCACTCTCCTTATTTGGCCACAAAATTAAGATTATGGACCTATCTGTAACATAAAAAACCTCCAGTGCTTAAACTAGCAGCTTGCTAGAAGTCCACAGTGGGCAGCAAAGTGAAAAGGGCAGAAAAGAAAATCACTAAGTCCTGTGCCATCAACGTAAGTCTTAAGAAAACATTAACCCTTTACACAATTCTTATTTTAATCATATGATTTTAAAGCCCTTGATTCTATGTATGACATCAAGTGGGCAGACCTTAGAAGCCACCAGGGTTTCAAATGCTCTGTTACAAAATAATCAGTATTGGAGCTTGCGAATTAGTTTGTGCAAATCAGCGCAAAAGAAGATATTTACGTATTACTGGAAGCATTGCTTTTGAATCTCGGTTCTCAGATTCCAGCAGACACTCTCGCACAATAAGCATGCGAACAGACATCCTGGTGTATGTATTCAGATGTTTTCACTCTCCATCACTCACACAGAGAAAACTAATGTTTCCATAGCAATAAAAAGGGCAGAAGTTTAACATCAAAGAGTAAGTATTTACTTACGAGTTTGTATTAAGTAAAAGATCCAAGCTGTGACACTTCTCCAGTTTCTGTTTTAGAGCAACAACCTCTTCAGACTTTGGCAGCTCGTATTTCCTTATAAGATTGCTCATGCCTACAATGGCAACAACACAGCCCTAAGCACATTAAATAATTTCTGCTCTACCTTGTTGTTCAGGGTTTGCATGGAAAGCTTTTGGCAGTGGGCAACTACAGAAGTGCTTTCTGTGTGAAGTTATTCAAAGCTTCCCATGTCTGATGGAGCCAATGTAGCCAGCTACAAGACATGCCATGACTGAGCACATCAAGAACAGTGGCAGCACCACTGGGAGAACATACACCGGGGAAAAAAACCTGCACAACTGCAGCCTGAAAAGAGCCATGAGAATATGTGACAGCAGCAGCCCTGCAGACCCCCAGGTCAGTACAGAAGCAGGTGGAGGAAGTGCTCCAGGTGCCAGAGCAGATGTTCCCCTGCAGCACGTGATGCAGACCATGGTGAGGTAGGATAGACTCCTGCAACCCATGGAGGACCCCACTGTTTTGAAAGCATCACATGTAGCCTTTAAAACAGAGTCAAAAGACAGCTGACACAGAAGCTCACAATGTAAAAACCTTGTCTGTCAAAGCAAGCATCAGACATTCAAAGTATTAACACCCCCTAACTGCTTGCTTACAGAACTTCTCATCCTACCAGCACTGAAACTTTACAGGATCGAAAAGACTTAACTATCATCTTATTCTGAGTATTAGTTTTAAATAACATCAAGGTACAGCAGAAGCCGAGCACAAAAACTACACTGAAACAAGTCATTAGCATCATTGATCTTGGATTTCCTCAAGGTAAGTTATAGCAACTGTAGAGTTCATGTTTGTCTGCTAACAAGCCTCAGAAAAGCAGAGGTATTGTTCACATTCAGCATCATACCTCCTTCTTAAGTAAAGACTGCTTTCAGTCTTAAGTATTTAACTTAAATTTACAGCTACCCTGCAAGATACAAGATTTTTTTAATCCTATCAGCATTTTTCTGTTAAACTAATCATACACAGAGGTTACAAAATTTCCTTCCAGCAATCATCTGTTTACAGAAGAGCTGCCTTTGGGCTGAAGCTACTTTCCAGAATAATGCAAGTGAAGAGTAAGTGATCCCAGCATTTCCTTTGCATCGTAGCAATGGAAACCTGAAGACTGAATTTGTTAGAAGGAAGAAAAAGAGAAAAGCACCTTAAGTTTTATAAATTCAATTTAAATTTATTTGCAGATCCTAGTGATTTGTATAGTGCATTCTCTACTACAGTCAGTTTAATCAAAGGACTATATTTTTAATGCTATCACCCTCCCATTTTAAATGAGTTTAAATAATTATTTGCTTACTGGAAATGTTGTATCCCAGCTTTTTTATTTAATTTAGAAATGGTAATAATCAGTATACTACATTCCCCATTATCTTAGCTAAACCATGCTGGCATTCTTATTATTTTTATCTATATATTTCTCACACTAGCAAACCTAAACATCTTTTCTGCTGCAAAACAGAAGCAAAATACAAATTCTGGCACACCACTTAACACTAGCCATTTAGCTTAGAAAAGATACCCTCTGGTGGTAGAAGTAGTTAGTGCAGGCTTTTTAATTTTTAAGATACAGTGGACTGAGTTATTTCGTCCCTATCTACAAAACCCATAACCTAGTTCCCAAAACAGAGTTCTCACTTTGTAGCCAGCTGCTAGCACTTAACTGTCGGTAGCACTTATATTCTCAGAAGAATCAGGGCCTTTGCCTTTCACTTTCATTTGTTCATATCACTGGAAAGCCTCACTGTTTCCCCTTGCATCCACAAGCTAAGTAGTTCATTCTACCACCCGTGGTTTACTTATCTTACACATGCAACCAGATAAAGAAAACCCCCTGAAGCACATCCTTCTGCTTAAAGTTTCTGTTGTTTGTTAAAAGCTGTTTTCCCTCCTTTAGAAATACTGTTTATCATATTTTCCCAATGTTTACTTACATTTCATGCCATCTAGTAGCTTTGCTAGGGCTGTTCTGTCTTCTTTCAGCTTAAGACTTTCTGATAAATAACTGCAAAAAGACATGGAAGAGTAAGTCCTTACATTAAAGTGTTATAATTATTTGTAGCGCTAAAATTAGTTAATAAAATATGTATATTCATTACCTACATCTGCTAGAGCTTCATGATTACACCTAGCAAGAACACTTTGGTTATACAAGTGCTATAAAATGATAAAAAAGCAAATCTGTGATTTGCAACATTCTTCTTCCATAAGGACATGAAGGAAGCATTCCGCTGCCATGTATTGGAACTGGATTTGAGCCTCACTGTGTTAAATCAACTTACATTTAAGACTCTGTCAACTGTCATGTTAACATCACGCTATTACACAGTATGACTGTTGAAAAAGCAAATAACACAGAAGTGTTCAGTCAGACCAAGAGACAGTAAACTTTGCAAGATGGAGTAACTTCTTTTGGCAGTTGAAAGCAAAGGCTTAAAGCTCTCTTGTAAGAGCCTGTGCATCTCTTTCTCTTCCCTCAGAGATTCCAACTTCCTTTCAGTAAGAACATTAATACATACACCACCTGAGTAAAACACCAAAACATGTAAGCAACAAACCTCAACAGGACTGGCAACAACCAAGTAATTATATCCCTTCCCAGGGAATGTACTTATGGATAAATTAAAAAAATTCAAAGACTCCAAAGTGTATCAACCTGTTCCGTCTAACTTCAAACTTACTTCATTTCTGACATTATCAGCTGTATCAGTTGCAGCCTGCAGACAGATGCACCAGCCACAACAAAGCTGATAGCTGCTTTCTTAACACCAATGCTCTTGTAGAGCTCAAATTTAAGGGTATTATTTAACCTTGTGCTAATACCAGAACTGAAGATTAATTTGAAGCCACCTATTAGCCAGAGCACCTATGTTTTCCTGAACCCTTTACTTTTTCAAGACTGAACTATACACTGAAAGTCACGGCAGCAACATATTTTCCAGTCTTCCATGCTTTGTCTCACCTTTGCAGGTGCGTACCTACCCCCAGGTCCACAAGACCTGAGCTGCAGCATTAGCTTCTCTCATACCCAGCATGTCAAACTCACATGAAACAACAAATGACAAAGTTATAGCAACAGTATGGTACAGACAGGCGATAAAGACTTGAGCTTTTCACAAATATCTGAAGACAAAAGTTCTCATACCTTGATTCACACATTATCTACAAATTATTCTTTTTGTAGGCATGCTTTTCTGAATTTTGGCACAAATAGTACAGAATATCTGTTTAGGAATGAAATCCAACAAGTTTCAAGTCACAGTAAATACTGAATGTTTTTACACTGTTCGAAGAGGACAGTCAGCGTTGTGGAGGACACTCCTACACTCTCTTACTCTTTCAGAACAAGACGGATTTGATACTCATTTAGAGCAGACGGAAGTGAAGTATCTTTAAAAAGAACGATCTGCATCTTGCAGCAGCCTCTGTTGCCTGCAGTCGTTACACTCTAGGTGCAAATTGCTCACACAGAGCATTATGTGATTAAAACACTCCAGCTGCAGCTACTTACAGCAACTACCTCAGCTGTTTTTCTGAAAGGAGTGTGTTTTATCCTTAAAAGGAAAGAAACCAAACCAAATATGCATTTCAGTAATGATATCAAAGTGTTTGATAATACCTTTGAAAACACCAGTGGGTAGACAAAAGAAAGGAAGAAGGGACCGATTTAAAACAGCACTTACATGCTGTTTTAAAGGGACTGACACTATTTAGTCCAATTCCATGGAAACTGAACAGCTGTACCAGTCAAATACAACACTCAGTTTCCACATAAGTAGCAGCTGTCGTTTCAGTGTAATTTCATTTGACTGCAAGCTGAGGTTAAAAAAAAAAAAAAAATAAGATTTTTAAGGTAAGTGATTCCTTAAGCGTTTCAATACTCTCAGTTCCTATTGTGTTTCCATGTTCTTCACTCTGACCTTCAAGATGAGCCTGAAAATCCTGGGCTGCTCTAATTAGGGCAAAGTCATCTATTTGTTTTTTATTTTTTTCCTTCCTTCCAAATTTAAAACCATATACCAACTATTCCATTTGTCAACTACATTTTGAAAATGGAGGGAAAAAAACCCAAAACAAAACAAAAACTCACAAAAAACAACACCAACAACAACAAAACACCACACACAAACCAAAAAAAAAAATGAACCAAACAACAACAGAAAAAAAAAAATCAAAACCAAAACCCCACCAACCAACCAACCAAAATCAGCACTGCTTCAGTTTTGGAATATATTTAAAGAACACATCATAGTCAGTAAATAGACACTTGTACTACTTAAGAACGTCTACAATCCAACTATTTTGTACAGGAAGCAAATAGGATGTTTAAATCATACCCATAAGGAAAAAACAAAAGGTTACCTTTCCATATTAATTCCTGCTCTTGAACCACTGGATAATATGGCAGCAAGAGCTATCTGTGAGGGACTGAAGAGCAGGTATGCATCTGTCAGAGCCACTCGACTGAGGAAGTCATCAGCTGTTTTCCTCAGAACTTCAGGATTCTCCAGCACTGGATAGCGAGTCTGAAAAGGAAGTATTCAGAAAGTAAGTAGGTGTTCCTTGCCTTCTCGTTCTTGAGCTCAGACCACATAATTTAACAGTACTTGGTAACACTAAAAAGTACCAGACCATCTTCTTACTCCAAAAATAAGCTAAAGTGCGTACAGCCACAACTTGAGACAATTAAACCAACTTCCTCCCAGATACATGCCTACCACTTTAGAAACTAAATCTTTTACAATCACAGGCACAAAAGCAAATAAAGGTTTTTACCACAACCCATGACAAATTTATATTACGTCAGTATACATCTGCGGTATGTAGCACATTAAACAATACTACCTTTAGATCGATTAGAAATCCCTCAAATGGCCTGTATGGATTATGGACAATAAGATGAAAGTTCAGTTGCTGAATAAGCAGTAGCTCATACTCCAGTATTTGTTCAAGAGCTTTTTCCTGTCCAGCAGGGCTTTCTCGAAGGTTACCAACAAACTGTACACTGGACACATTAAATTCATCCACTTTACAGGCCAAAAATGCACATGTCAGCCTTGAGGAGGGAAAAAAGGAAAAAAAAGAAGACATATATAGTATGCAGCTTCTTATCAAGAGCCCTGTTCAGAAATTTTTTATCTTCAAAACACCATATTCTGAACACAAAAAACTCCCAAATGGAAACTGGAAGTGACCATACTTTGCCTTTACTTGTTTTTAAGCTCTCAGATGTCCTTTCTCATTTTTTCAGGTCTTTACAGGTACAGAGATTAAACCTCCAATATTTTGCTTGACAGAATAACTCAAGATGCACTGATAACTCACATTATTATCCGAGGATGATACTCCATCACCGAGTTATTGAGGTAAAAACGTTTGAAATACATGGAAGCTGTTCCCTAGATTAAAAAAACAAAACAAAACAACGGAGGGAAAAGTAAGTGTAGAAGCAAAAACAGATTAAGAAAAAAAGAAAAATAAACTAAAAAAAAATAATCATGAAACAGAAGCAGCATGTTTTAATATATACTACAGACATACAGGATACACTAAGGCCATTTGAAAGTCTAATACATGTATGCCTGCAATATTTATGCTCAAAAGCCTGTAATATCTTCATGAGAAAAATGTGAAACTTACATGAAGTTTAAAAATCAAAGACTGAAAAGGATTTTGAAAGTCGTAAGTAGACTCAGGCAGAACATCTGACTTTTTAGATCAGTAAGTTTCCTAGTGTGTTTAACAATCATGCTTCTCTGTGTATTGAGAAGTAATGCAGCGAATGCCAAATTTCCATGCTGGTCTGAATGCCATCAGCATGAAAGCAGATGTTTTCCGTAACCATTACTTGGCAGGTCTGATCCAGCACACGTACTTTAATGAGGGTGTCTTGATTTCAGCTGTAATAGCTGTTTTTTCCTTTTTCCTAAGTAGCTGGTGCAGTGCTGTGGCTTGGCTTTAATCTGAGAACAACACTGATAACACGCCACTGTTTTTAATGTTGCTCAGTAATGCTTACCCTGAACAAGGACTTTTCAGTCTCACGCTCTACCAGGGAAGAGGGGAAGCCGGGAGGAAGCAGAGAGAGGACACCTGACCCAAACTAGCCAAAGGGGTATTCCATACCACAGCACGTCATGCCCAGTATATAAACTGGGTAGAGTTACCCGGAAGGTCAGATCGCTGCTACAGTCAGGCCAAGCATCAGTCAGCAGCAGGTAAGCCATCACTTGTGCTTACTGTTTTTTCTTTCAGTTTTATATTCTCTCACCTTGTTATTTTCCTTATTAATAGTAGTAGTAGTTTTGTATTGTACCTTAGTAATGGGACTGTTCTTATCTCCACCCGTGGGAGTTACATTCCTTCAATTCTCCTCTCCAGCCCTCCGGGAGGTGGGGGAGCGGGGAGGGAAGGGAGGGAGTGAGAGAACGGCTGTGTGGTTCTGAGTTACTGGCTGCACTTAAACCACAGCAGTCCTTTCTGGCTCGAAGTGTTAACGACAGATCTGACCAGAGTGTGTCTAACTGCATTTGTGATAAGCGTTCACTCTTTCGGATTAACAGTTGCTTGCCACAATGCTGATTTATTGGCTCTTGGAGTTGTTGTGCTTGGTCTCAGAGTTTCAGTATGTCACAACTTACTTGCAACCTGTACTTGCTGTTATAGTGTTTATCAGCTCTGGGGCTGGGGCTAAGGTTCTCATTTTGTTGTACTTTATGACAATGGCTTGTGATACAATAGAACTACTGATCATGAAACCAATCTGGCATGCACTCTCAGCATGGTCACCACCTCTGTACTTTGGGAGGCATGTAATGGGAAATGTTAACAATTACATCTCTTTTTTTCCCTGCCTTGGATGGCCAACCTGTGAAGGAGACATCCTCCCACACCTTCTGCCCCTACCCCCCAGGCTGCTTACAGCAGCATTTGAGAATTTTAAGGATTTTTTGAGTACCCTTGAAACCAGCCTGCTCCTTTTGCTGGGAACCAGCATGTTGTTGCATGTGGTTTAGGTCTTGTCTAAGGTTAAATGATGATCTAAGAATACCTCTAAGAGATCTTCCTCATGGCTAGACAGTCATGGGTGGCAGTATGTGTGAGACAGTATGGGCAAGTACCCAGACCAGCGGCACCTTTGGAACTGACAGGAGACAATACAGAGTATACATCATAATGGCTGGATGACAAAAGCAGCACAACTTTATTCTCTGCTACAGCTATGACTCCCCACTGTCTCCCTTCTGAAATGTGTTCAAGGTAAGTCATTCAAAGGTATTTTTCCTTTTACTCTTTAACCTCTATAGGTTAGTTTACTGCCAGTAAAGCTTGCTTTGTGGTCAGACAAGCACCAGTGCTTGAGAAACAACTAGGTGACAGCTCAAGTGTGGGACTGCCTCCTTTAGCTACAGCTAAAGTTCTGGGGTAAAGGGTGGACTTGATGATCTTACAGCTGATTTCCTACCTCGTTGATTCTATGATTCTATAGATAACACTCTGCCTTTGGACCATCTACACTACCCTGAAAACAGAGTGATCAGAGGGTTTGAAGCACAGACAGACAAAAAATCTGAAGGATATCCAAAGAACAACACACAGAGGCTTCGTCGCTTACCACCACGGATCTCGGCATGGCAGGCTTGAAGACGGAGCAGAAGTCCAGCAGCCGCTTTTCGTAGTGCTTGCATATCGCCAGCTCCTCATGGGGCTTTAGCAGCCGAAGGTCATTCTGCTGGACCTTGAGGGTAAGCAAAGATAAGTCTGCCTCACGCGCTGCGCCTCTCCCCACAGCCCAGCTCCTCCCCTCAGAGGAGGCCGCAAGGCTGACGTACCCCTCCCGACCGCCCTCTTCCTCTCCTCCCTCACGGCTCCCACTCCCACACCTTCCCAGTCGCCGCCGCCTTGCTGTGGAAGTTGCGGTTGGCCTCCTCCCGGCACCGCTCCAACTCCTGCCCGCTGCAGAAGATCCAGTGCTTGCGCTGCGTGCTGCTGTGGTACATGATGACGATGATGATGTCAGCGCCCCCCACGCTTTACGGTATTACGCTTTCCGGTGTAGGCAGGGAACTGCTGGGAGGTGTAGTTCAGTGGCGGGGAGGTGGGGGGAGGGCTAAGGATAGCTGAGGGGAGGGCGGGCCCGGAACGGGAAGTGGGAATGTCAGGGTAGAAGCAGGGAAGAAGTAGTCTGGGTCAGGAAAAGAGTAACAGCTAACTTGAGAAAGATTAAGAACAAACTCAAGGTCAAAACCACACAGGTTATTTTGAAAAGATCAGCAAAACAGAGGGTACCCGTGTCCCCAAAGCAGCTTGGTTCTTTGTAATGCTAAAATTCACACCCCCTGAGGTAAAAGACACTTGCCCACAGAGACCCTACATCACAGAAGATGTGTAGAAATAAATACATACGGCATTGTCCTGGGTTCAGCAGTAGCAGTCCTTTTTCTCCTTCTTAGTACCTGGTGCAGTGCTGTGTTTTTGACTTTCAGCCTTGGAACAACGCTGACAACACCAATGTTTTTATTTGTTGCTGGGTAATGTTTACTCTGACTAAGGACTTTCTGAGTCTCATGCTCTGCCAGGGAGGAGGGGAAGTCACAAGGAAGCAGACAGGAAACCTGACCCAAATTAGCTATGAAACCATGTAATTTATCAACATCAAATAATAATGCTGTTAGGAATATGGCCTGGGTTCAGCAGTAGCAGTCATTTTTCTCCTTCTTAGTAGCTGGTGCACTGCTGTGTTTTTGTCTTTCAGCCGGAGAACAACACTGATAACACACCGATGTTTTAGTTGTTGCTCAGTAATGTTTACCCTGATCAAGGACTTTCTGAGTCTCATGCTCTGCCAGGGAGGAGGGGAAGCTGAGAGGAAGAAGAGACAGGATGCCTGACCCAGACTACCCAAAGAGGTATTCCACACCACAGCACGTCGTGCCCAGTATATAAACTCGGGGCAATTACCCAGAATGGCTAGATGACTGCTCGGGTCAGGCTGGGTATCAGTCGGTGGGTGGTGAGCGGTTGTATTCTTTTCCCTTGTTATTTCCCTTATCATTATTATGATTGGTGGTAGCAGTAGTGGTTTGTGTTATACCTCAGTTACTGGGCTGTTCTTATCTCAAACCATGGGAGTTGCATTCTTTTGATTCTCCTCCCCATCCCTCTGGGAGCGGGGAGGAAGAAATGGGAGTGAGCAAGTGACTGCATGGCTCTGTGTTACTGGCTGGGCTTAAATCACAACAGGAAAGAAAGAAAGCAGGAAAATCTTTATGTTCTAGCAAATGAAATCCATCTTGGTGTGTTTAAAAAGAAGTATGTGAGAAGAAATAGTTCTCTAGCCCCCTCATGTCAGGGTTGATATGTAGTGAGGTTGTAATGGGGTAGGAGTTGCCTCTTCTCCCAAGTAAGAAGTGATAGGACAGGAGGAAATGGCCTCAAGCTGCACGAGGAGAGGTTTAGACTGAATATTAGGAACAATTTCTTCACAGAAAGGGTTGTCAGGCATTGGAACAGGCTGCCCAGGGAAGTGGTGGAGTCACCATATGAATAGTTAAGGACTGTTTCAACACTGTTCCGCATGGCATCCTTGTCTCTAAACGAGTAACATAAATTTGATGGCTGGACACCCAGTGGATAACTAATTGGCTGGTTGGCCCCATACAGAGGGTTGTGGTCAACAGCTTAATGTCCAATTAGAGACCAGTAATGAGTGGTATCTGTCAGGGATTGGTGTTGGGAGACTGATCCTGTTCAACATCTTTGTGGGCAACATGGACAGTAGTAATGATGTACCCTCAGCAAGTCTGCCGATGACATCAAGCTGTGTGGTTCAGTTGAGATGCTGGAGGGAAGGGATGTGATCCAGAAGGACTTGACACACTTGAGAGGTGGCCAGTGCCAACCCCATAGAGTTCAACCAAACCAAGTGCAAGGTCCTACATCTGTGTCAGGGCAATCCCAGGCACAGCTACAGGTTGCGCGGAAAAGAGACTTAGAGCAACCCTGCAGGGAAGGACTTGGGGGTGTTGGGTGGCAAGAAACTGAACATGAGCCAGCTTCAGTGTGTGTTTGCAGCCCAGAAACCACCCGTGTGCTGGGCTGCATCAAAAGGAGTGTGACCAGCAGGTTGAAGGAGAAGATCCTGCCCCTATTTTCTGCTCTCATGAAACCCCGCTTCTAGCTCTGTATGCAGTTCTGGTGTCCTCAACACAAGAAGGAGCAAGTCCAGATGAGGCTACGAGGACGGTCAGGGGACTGGAGCACCTCCTCTAGGAAGACAGGCTGAGAAAACTGGGGCTGTTCAGCCTGGAGAACAGAAGCTGCATGGAGACCTCATAGCAGCCTTCCAGTATCTGAAGAGGGCCTGCCAGGATGTTGCAGAGGGACTCTTAATCAGGGACTGTAGTGATAGGACAAGAGGTGATGGTTTCAAACTTAATCAGGGAAAGTTCAGATTAGATATAAGGAAGAAGTTCTTCCCTGTGAGGGTGGTGAGGCCCTGGCACAGGTTGCCCAGGGAAGCTGTGGCTGCCCCATCCCTGGCAGTGCTCAAGCCCAGGGTGGACAGGGATTGGAGCAACCTGGTCTAGTGGAAGGTGTCACTGCCCATGGCAGGCAGTCAGAACTGTGTGAGCTTGAAGGTCCCTATCAGTTGTCCTAACACTAGTTAACTAGTTAAAATTTTTATTGCTCATGCTAAGTAGCACTTTATTTTTCATTTAGCGTCACTGGTATCAGTGAGATCCTTTTGTCAAAGGAGCACTACTCTGTGTTAGCAAAATATACTGGTCATTCAAACCAGTAGAAAAATGTATCTGTATATAGCTATAATCCACTTAAGTACGAATATACAATACAGGGACATACAAGTTAAGGTACTCAGCAAAAACACAGACTTTAAATAAGTGAAAAAGGACCAGGAAGAACAGTTTGGAATTCCTGACTTTTACACCTTTAATTATAAAGGAAAACCATCTGCATTTAATAAGGTACAACTTCAGAAACATATTAAGTGTATCATCTTAAAGAAACCATGGATCATGGGAGCAGAACTTAAGTATGCTGAGGCAGAGCTGTTTGTTTATTCTTAAATTAAGGGCATCACATTCATCCAGTGATGAGGGCTGAATTCCTTCTCAGCAATCAGATTTGTATGTTCCTTTTGCTACTGTGCAGGTCATCTGTTGAAGTCAGTGGAAGATCTTCCTGAAGACCAAAAGCCAAGGCTGGCTTTTACAGAGGAAATTGGTTATTTTTGCCGTTCTTAACTGACATATAGTGAATCATTCATTGGGAAAGTTCTGTTTGTTCCATCCCTTGTTTCTTGCTTTTCCTTCTTTACTTCTTATTTCCCCTTACTTTGTCCTGATGTTCTTTACTTTTCAATTTTTTTGCTGCTCCATTCTTCCCACTCCACTCCCAATATGTCATCTCATATGAATATAATTGAGGTACTGATATGTAAGCGGCGAGGAGAAGCAGACAGGCCAACCCAATATGGGTGATAAGCAACTTCTACTTTATTTGTGACGCAGTTCACACATATATAGGAGTGGTATTCAGCCACTCCTTCTTGGCATAACAGTATTGGTTAGCCCCCACAGCTTCCTCCACATTCTCCTCCCAGGTCCGGTCTCCGGCTACCTGTGGGGGCCACCCCCTGCCTTGCTTGCACAGTCCTCCAGAACTCTATGGTCCTGCTCTTAAGAGTCATTCTGCAACAATTCCCCCCTTTTTCTTTGTGCAAGCAAGGCATTATGGGTTATTCTGTTCACCTGTTTTATCACACAACTATAAACAAGTCTAATAGCTACGATGATTAACCTAATCAATGATACATAAGTGCAATACTTTTAAACAGTGTTTGACTCAACCTGTAATGCCCCGTGAAGACAACCATCTAGTTATTCTTAGGATATTGCTCATTTACTATTGCTGGGTAAGCTGAGCCAGGGTTCTCAGCTGTGCGTACATCGAATTAGCATAATCAGAGAGACTCATACAACACATTCCATCAAACTCTTCACATCCATGTCCCTGTTCCAACAACAAAAGGTTCTGCAGTGTTGCATGTCTTACAGAGTCAACATTAAAACAAATCAGGAATTGCCTTCGATGTAGAATTGTCTGCTTAGCAACTCAGCAACCCAGTCTGCTTAGTTGAGCCAAGGCCCCAGCTGAAGCACTTACAGTGATTTGGCATATTATGATTGGATACATGTTTTGAAGACACTTAGTGACTAACATATAATTGGTTAAACACAGGTGTGAGAACTCAACCTTGAAAGCTTGCCAACAGTCCACAGTTCTCATTAACTTGGTGAATTCCAGCCTCTTATCTTGTTTGCTTAAGCTTCTTCAGGCCTCTCATGGCCTTGCTGTATCTTTCAGGACTATTCAAAGTTTATGTACCAATTATGCATTCTCCTGTGAGAACACTGTCTCCACATCTTCCCCCTTTTGTTTTATCCAGTAACAAGTCGCTACTACAGCAAGGCACACACAAATTTACACTAGCAGAGTAACTATTACAGGGTGCAGCAGCATGTTGAAGACGCTGATGGCACTGAAGGACTAGCCAAAGAAATTTCTTACCAGTGGAATTCTCCCCCCCTCTTAATTTGTTCCATCACCTGCTTTATAACACTACCATTGTATTAAAATTTTTCTAGCTTTTGCCTTAGCATTTTCTAGCAGCTACTGCAAATTTCCATAGTCTAACATCTCTTTTACAAGTGACAAATCTATACAATACAAGGTGCAGTTTCTTATTAGCAACTAGCTAGTAAATACAGGTGGTTTTATACACAAAATCACAACCTCTAATAATAGCTATTTTACAAGCACACATATTCAGGATGTTACTTTTCAACTGCCCCCAAGTGATGTTTTGCAGTTATTTATTCTTTCTCTTCCTCTATCTCATTCTGCTTGGGGTAATCACGGTCAGCTCCTGTAGCTGAGGCATCAGGTTTATCCATTCGTCTGTCCAGCTCATGGCAAGGCTTGACAAACTTTGCAGGCAGTCACCATGGACCTGTA